TGTCTCTCTGGCTCCCTGTCTCTCTGGGCTCTGGGTCTCTGGGTCTCTGGTTCTCTGGGTCTCTGGCTCTCTGGCTCTCTGTCTCTCTGGGTCTCTGGGTCTCTGGCTCTCTGTCTCTCTCTCTGGGTCTCTGGCTCTCTGTCTCTCTCTCTGGGTCTCTGGGTCTCTGGCTCCCTGTCTCTCTGGGCTCTGGGTCTCTGGGTCTCTGGGTCTCTGGGTCTCTGGCTCTCTGTCTCTCTGTCTCTCTGTCTCTCTGGGCTCTGGGTCTCTGGGTCTCTGGCTCTCTGTCTCTCTGTTTCTCTGTCTCTCTGGGTCTCTGGCTCTCTGTCTCTCTGGGCTCTGGGTCTCTGAGTCTCTCTCTATCTGGGTCTTTGTCTCTCTAGGTCTCTGGCTCTCTGTCTCTCTGGGTCTCTGGCTCTCTGTCTCTCTGTCTCTCTGGCTCTCTGTCTCTCTGTCTCTCTGGGTCTCTGTCTCTCTGGGTCTCTGTCTCTCTGGGTCTCTGTCTCTCTGGCTCTCTGGCTCTCTGGGTCTCTGTCTCTCTGTCTCTCTGGCTCTCTGGCTCTCTGGCTCTCTGGGTCTCAGTCTCTGGCTCTCTGTCTCTCTGTCTCTCTGGCTCTCTGTCTCTCTGGCTCTCTGGCTCTCTGTCTCCCTGGGCTCTGGGTTTCTGGGTCTCTGGCTCTCTGTCTCTCTGTTTCTCTGTCTCTCTGGGTCTCTGGCTCTCTGGCTCTCTGGGTCTCTGTCTCTCTGGGCTCTGGGTCTCTGGCTCTCTCTCTATCTGGGTCTCTGTCTCTCTGGGTCTCTGGCTCTCTGTCTCTCTGGCTCTCTGGGTCTCTGTCTCTCTGTTTCTCTGGGTCTCTGGCTCTCTGGCTCTCTGGGTCTCAGTCTCTGTCTCTCTGTCTCTCTGGGTCTCTGGGTCTCTGGCTCTCTGGCTCTCTGGGCTCTGGGTCTCTGTCTCTCTGGGTCTCTGGCTCTCTGGGCTCTGGGTCTCTGGCTCTCTGTCTCTCTGGGTCTCTGGCTCTCTGTCTCTCTGGGTCTCTGGCTCTCTGTCTCTCTGGCTCTCTGTCTCTCTTTCTCTCTGGGTCTCTGGCTCTCTGTCTCTCTGGCTCTCTGTCTCTCTTTCTCTCTGGGTCTCTGGCTCTCTGTCTCTCTGTCTCTCTGTCTCTCTTTCTCTCTGGGTCTCTGGCTCTCTGGTTCTCTGGCTCTCTGGGTCTCTGGCTCTCTGGCTCTCTGGCTCTCTGGGTCTCTGGGTCTCTGGCTCTCTGGCTCTCTGGGCTCTGGGTCTCTGTCTCTCTGGGTCTCTGGGTCTCTGGCTCTCTGGGCTCTAGGTCTCTGGGTCTCTGGGTCTCTGGCTCTCTGTCTCTCTGGGTCTCTGGCTCTCTGTCTCTCTGGCTCTCTGTCTCTCTTTCTCTCTGGGTCTCTGGCTCTCTGGTTCTCTGGCTCTCTGTCTCTCTTTCTCTCTGGGTCTCTGGCTCTCTGGTTCTCTGTCTCTCTGGGTCTCTGGGTCTCTGGCTCTCTGGCTCTCTGGGTCTCTGTCTCTCTGTCTCTCTGGCTCTCTGGGTCTCTGGCTCTCTGTCTCTCTCTAGGTCTCTGGGTCTCTGGCTCCCTGCGGCCTCTCCATCTCTGATCTCTGTCCGGGGCGGAGAGAGCCTGCGCAGGTGGCAGAGAAGACACGGGGAATGGGTGGCAGGAGGAGGGTGCGAGCGTGTTTGTCCAGGGCGAGGTGCATTGATCCTCCGCCCGCGCCGCCATCGGGTAAATCCCGGCCGCGGTAATGAACCTCCCCACACAGCGCTCTCAAAGCACACACCAGCCCTGGCCCCAGCGGTTAATATTTAACTGAATAAGGGCCATAAATATGGAAAATGGGACTTTTAATTAAATAAGCAGCTTTTAAAAGGGCCCTTGGGCGGGAGAGGCTTTTGTTTAAATATGATTGATTTGACATGTCCTTTCGCTCCCACACTCTCCCGGCTCTCCTCCGACGGTAACTCTTGGCCCCAGCCCCGGAAGCAAGGAGGCCGTGGCCAGACCCTGTCCTGCTGGAAGGAGGGGAGCTCCCAGCTGGAGGAAGAGGTGGGAGGGAGGTGCCCACGGGGGCTGGGATTTGCAATCTGGGGGCCGTGGCTGCCCACATTTGGGTTAAACCACATCAGAGGCTGCCTGCATTGGGGGGAATGTGCCTTTCATCTTCCCGAAGGAGTGAGCTAGTGGGGTGAGGTGCCTCCAGATCCTGGGCTGTAGGTCCCCATCACCTGCATTTTAGCCACCACCCAGCTGCGTGCCCTTAGGTGGTCCAGCTCGGGGGCCTTCCCTCTGCGTCTCAGTATCCCCATCTGTAATATGGGGATACGAATATTACCCACTTCACAGGGCTGTGTTCAGATTACATTCATTCCAGTCCATGGCAGGGCCCACAAGGTGTCTGTTTTCTTTCCTGGTGTTCACCAGGATCATGGCTGGGGGCTGTGTGACCGCTCAAAGGGCACATTCCTTCCGCCAGGGCCGGCCTTGTGGCTGTGAGCCCTGTCCTGTGACAGTCTCTGGTGCTTGATTCCACGCTCTGCTGTTGCCATCTTAACATTCTTAATACTTTGGAACAAGGGACCTCCCCCCATTTTCATTTTGCACTGGGCCCTGCAAAGAACATAGCCCGTTCTGCCTCCACCCATTAATAGGCCCCCAGTCTTGGTGGCTTGGGAGGTAGTAACTCATTTGGGGAGCTCGGAATTCTCCAATTCCATGACTGGAAGGAGAATCCAAGTCAGGGAGCTCTGTCTCCTGCCTCCAAGCCGGTGGCCTTTGACTTTCAAAACTTCTGCAGAAAAAGAAATCAAGTCCTATTTATTACAAATTTAAGATTTATGAAGCACGTCTGACCTGCCGGATTCTGTGCATGCCTGGCCTCAGAGACCCTGTTGCTCTCCCAATTCCTGGGTCCGGGATCTGAGGCGCAGAGAGGCTAAGCAAGCAGGTGGGGCTACCTAGCTAAGGAGCGAGCAGCGCCAGAATCTGAGCCTGGGGCTCTCTGCATATGTCAATTCGGCCATCGGCCTCTCCCTCCTCGGCATTGGCATGTGCCTCCTGCGTGGGCTCTCTGGCCGGAAATCTGCCTGCACTCATCTACGTGCTATCCAGAAGCCAGAGGCCCAAGGCTTCCACCTGCTCTGCCTCGACATCTCCCTTCTCCAAGCAGCAAATGCTGGCCCAGGAAGGCTTCCCACCCCTTGGTCCAGGCTGCATCCGTGCTGTGGGCGGTGTGATGCCAGCCCCCGGGAATGCTGGGAATCAGGGAGACGGGACCAAAGGTAAGCGCGAGGCCATGTCCTTTCGGTGTCAAAGAAGATTAGGAGTCCAGCTCTCAGAGCTGAGGACTGGGGCTGAAATCAGCCTGTGATCCCAAGTGAGGTGAGTTCAGAGGTCACCAGCTGGTTCCTTTGTGTGCCAATATTAACAGGAGAGTCACCTAATTGGGGTGGGTCAGCCAGTGGACAGAGCCAGGACGCACAGCAGGGGAGGGAAAGGGACCCATGGCCCCCCAGGCACTGTGTTGGTGCTTGATACGAGGTGGCTCATTCATTATATTCATATTCTTACTAATATTACAAATACAGAAGGAGCAGAAGAAGAGCAGTGGCCCCATAGATTGAGAGCCTGTTAAATTCAGGCTTGGTTCCTGATAATTAATTAAACTGTCTCAGCCTTGCAACCTCCCCGTGAATTAGGTTCCATTCTACCTCATTCTACAACCAAGAAGACCGAGGCATGAAATGGGTGAGGCAGGGGCCCAGGGTCATAGAGCTTTAATGAAGGACAGGGACTTGGATGCTTCTGGGAGGGAGAGATGACCATCTCTATTTTCCCAAGGAAGAAAGTGAGGCTCAGAGAGGGATCACGCATGTCCAAAACCACACAGCTAGGTGGTGGCAGAGCTGAGTTATAACCCTCCAGAGGTACATCCGCTCCAGAGCCCACAATAGCACAGCATCTCCCTATTTAAAAAAAATATATATTTTATTTATTTATTTGAGAGAGAGAGAACGAGTAGGGAGAGGGACAGAGGAAGAGGGAGAAGCAGGCTCTCTGCTGAGCAGGGAGCCCGACGTGGGGCTCGATCCCAGTACCCTGAGATCATGACCTGAGCCAAAGGCAGGTGCTTCACTGACTGAGCCAGCCAGGCACCCCTCATCTCCCTATTTTTTAAACTCAAAACTTCCACGATTCTTTGAAGACCCTTTCTTCTGTTGGCCACTGTTCCTGCCTTCCTGGTCCTAAGGGGACTGTGAACTTCAACTGGTTAATGGGTGCAGATCTGCTATCTACATGGCTCACACTGACCCTAGAGAAACCAACACACCTCTCCCTTGGTTTCAGGTCAAACGAATGCATATGGACACTTGCTGGAATCATGGCAGCCTGACACCTGTCAGACACTCAATTTACGTAGGCTGAGGGCACCGAAGCACCACTTGCCTCGAATGTGCTGACTGGAAACTGGGTTGGACAGCAGTTGATACAACAGACATGTCTGGAGGGTCCGCTAATGCCGGGCGGTGGACACACAGTGGTCAACGGCACCTGACACTTCCCTGCTCACCTGCAACTTACATGCTGGCGGAGGAGGGGGACGTTAATCAGATGATCGTGCTGCAATGACACCTCGAATCTGTGCCAAGTGATGCTGAGCTGAGGACAATTTCACTGGAGCAGCCAGACTTGGCCAGCAAGGTTAGGAGAGGTAGCCCTGGCAAGAAGACCTTTGCACTGAGAATCTGAAAGACGAGCAGATGCCAAGTCAGCAAAGAGGGAAAGGAAGGGCATCCTGGCTGGAACAGCACAGGCAAAGATTTAACATCCATTTTCCCATTCAATCTGCACTGGGAGGGGAGTATTAATATCCCCATTTTATAGATAAAGTAACAGGGATGGGAGCCCTGTCTTTGTGCGGGACCTTGATCTTGATCCAAGTGTGTCTGATGCCAAATCTGATGCTCTCCCTGCACTTCCACACTGTTGCTTAGAAGTGACATCATGTGGGGATACAAGGAAATCTTCCCCTGGGAAAAAAATAATGCAAACGGGCCTGATATTTGTGTCAGACAGAGCTTTTTAGACTGCAATGGTAGAAAGCTAAACCCACTGACTTAAGCAAAAGAGGAAATTTCTTGTCTCATGGAACAAAAATCCAGGACTAGATATATGGCTTCAGGCTCAGCTAGATCCAGGGGCTCAAACAATGTCATCAGAGCCTGGTGTGTGTCTCTGTCCCTGATCCTGCTTCCTGGGTGTTGGCATCATTCATGATAGTCCCTGGAAGTCCCTTACTCACCTCCTCACTGTTAGCAGTCTAGGAATAATGAGAGACTCTAGAAAAATACCCCTGGATTAGCTCCAACTGGACCAACTTGGTCATGTGCCCATCCCTGAACCAATCAGTATGGCTAGGGGGCTGTAATGTCCTGATTGGCCAAATCTGGGCCACAGGCTCAGCCTGGGCCAATCAGTGGGACCAGGGGCCTGAAATGTCCTGATTGGCCAAATCTGGGCCACAGGCTCAGCCTGGGCCAATCAGTGGGACCAGGGGCCTGAAATGTCCTGATTGGCCAAATCTAGGCCACAGGCTCATCCTGGACCAATCAGTGGGGCCAGGGGGATGGACTACTTTGGCACTGAGTTAGGTGATCACTTTTGGACCTGAAGGTGAATCAGCCTTACCCAAGCTCTATGGACCTGGAGGGGTGGGATGTGATGCATTTACCAGAGAAGAAGGGATGTGGGAAAGGTATAAATCAGAGCTGGATCCCCAAAAAGAAAATAGAAAATAGGAAAAATAAGATAGAAAAGATCTTCATCTCCTTGGATTTTCCTTCACACAGGGCACACCCATTTCGCAGACACATAAACTGAGGCTGAGAAAGGCCACACAATGGGCTTCAGGCCACAGAGTGGGTAGTGGAACCACACACGCCCAGATGGGGTCCCCAAAGCCCATGCTTTGTCATCACACCTCTGGCGGGGGTACTGATTCTATGGCATTTGTTGTGGTCGTCCTTTTAGCTGCTTGGGCCAGTTCATGGAAGGGGGTGTGTTATGCACACCTCATTTCATCATGATTTTGATCCAAAGATCCTTGAGACATTGATTCGGCTGCCCATTGGTAAGCAGAGGGAAAGTACACATCATTAAAAACTGATCATTGATTCTACTATGCAGTACGTGGCAAGCAGAATCAACAGGTGCAGTGGAGATCTGGGAACGAGACATTCCACCTCTGGCATCTCCAAAAACTGCTCTAAGTACTTCCAAAGGTTATCACAATGGCTACTCTTTCCTGAGCATGTACTCTGTGCGAAGTACATGAACACAACCTCATCAGATCCTCCCACAGTGCTCTGAGGGAGGTATTATCATGCACATGTTAGAGCAGAGAGAACCCAGGTTCAGAGAGGTGTGGTGACTTACCCAAAGTCACAGTCAATGATGCAACAGAGTCAGGATTTGAACTCCGTCCGGGTCAAGAATCCATTTCACAACCATGACCTTCCACCCCGTTTTGGGATGTCCCGTGACCTAAATAGCTCGTTCTTGATTTGATCACTGTAACTGGTTTCCAGTTTTTTAGCGGCACTGGGCATCTGCACAACTCTAAGTGTGAGCACCTACAGTTTATGTCCTAGGCTCCTCACTTGCCCTGCCCTAGTCCTGGTCCTGTTTTTTTTTTTTTTTTTATTTTTTTAAAATAACAGACAATATATTTATTGATTCAACATGTCTGATTGAACACCTATGATCTCAAGAGACAACACCCTTTCTAGGGGATTCACAGGGAGTGTTTTCTTGCAGGAGGATAGGCAGGAGACACCATCGAGAGGGGAGGGAACCCGGGGGGACAGCAGAGGAAGAAGCTGGACAAAGGTGTGGTTTGCACTAGAGTCTGGCTGCAGCCCGATCCCCCAGGAAGCTCTGCAGCATGAAAGGTGCCACAGAGTTGCCCCCTGCTCTCGAAGCAAAGGGCTGACTTTCTTACCCTTGTATCAACCAGTAATTGGCTGTGGGCTGCCCTGGAAAAACCCCCACTCAGGGGCCAGCTCCCATTGGCAGAGGTCATGCCTCTGGAGTTGGAAGGAGCCGAGAGCCTTGAGCAGCCAGCCCAACGGTGGGGGTCAGGTGGTGGGGTTGCGCACTGGTCAAAGGTGATTTGGGTAGGGTGCTGGTCGCATCTGCTACACCTGCTGCTTTGGGGGCACTATTTGCCCTCGTGGCACCTACTTCACAGAGAGTGGCTACCCTGTGCCTGATATTCTAGACCCATGATCAAATCTAATTCCCCCTGGAGCAGATATAACCCATTTCACAGATGTCAAAGATGAGGCTCCGTCGGTACCGGAGCTGAGCAGAATGTGAAGCCCCCCCCGCGTCGCCCAGGCCTGTCTTCGGGCCTGGGCAGCCTCCTGCTGTGCTGTCTGTGGTCTTTGAGAAGGTCAGCAGTGAGGTGCAGGCCCAGCCAGTGGTGGGCGGGAGCTGGAGCAGAGGACACCTTAATGGCCCTGGCATTGCCTGACATTTGGGTTTTACTTTCTGTGGGAAGTGCGCTAATTACTCCTGTTCACTCAGAAGTCCGCCGTAACTGCCACTTGGATTTTATGGAGTTCTTTGGGGTTGTCATTTCTGCGCGACTTCTGGAGACCACGGGGGCAAAGCAGACTTGCCTCTCACCATGTGCCCGGCCGGCACCTCCTGTGGACGCGGGCCTGGTGGCTGGCCACGGGCTGGCACACACACACACACACACACACACACACACACACACAGCTCTGCCGTGGCCCCAGGCAGCCCAGGCGGTCGGCGCAACGCGTCACCCCCGTTTGGCAGATGAGCCAGGAGAAGTTGCCAGAGGGTGACCGGCTGTCCCCCTCCCCCAGCTGGGAAGCCTGATGCCACAGCCTGGGCCTTCCCACTTTGCTCACGGCCCCGGCACCCCCCTCAACTGCTCTCAGCATCCAGAGGAGCCCCACACTTCTCTCAACCCCCTGGTTGGGTCTGTAGGGAGGGTCGTGAAAGGCCCACTTGACAGGTGGAGAAACTGAGGCAAGAGGTCATTCAGCAAACAGGTTGAAAAGCACGGGCCGTTTTGTAGTTGGGCTCTCTGGGCTGGTGGCCCGGCTCCCCACGAACCCTCTGGGGGCACCTCTCTGGGCCTCGGTTTCCTCCTCTGTAAGCCGGGGGTAATCACAGGACCCGCCTCTTAGGCTGGCCAGGAGGATGAATCTGTAAGCATTCCGGACAGCGTATGGCTCACACACTGGTGATTACTCTAAAGGTGACTCCAGGGTCAGTTTGGGGCCCAGTTGTACATCCCTCTGCCCCAGGCTCTGCCTCTCCGTCCCCCGCTGCACCCCGGGGGCTCGCTCCTCTCCCCCGCGGCTACTGCTCTTAAACAACGCCCCCACCCCGGCAAGTGTCCTGGTCCTCGTGACTGGGGACTGCCAGGGCTTCTGCCTTCAGGAGGACTGTCAGGCATCAGATAAGAACATCACTTTCAGAGAAAAGGGGGGGGCTTTTCTCAGTCTCCCCCAAACCATTGCATGTAGAGCAAGAAGGAGTCATCTTGTCATCCCCCTCCAATGTCTGCTTTATGGGCGGGGAAATGTCTGCTTCTGCTCCACAAATATTTGTGCAGGAATGAATGAAGGAATGTATGCATGAATGAGTCACGGGTGAATGAGGAGGGAAACACCGGCTAGGCCCCAGGCGAGGGGCGGGGATTCAGCAGTGAGCAGAGCTGCCTGCACTCTGCACACCTCCAGGGGGCGCTAATCATGAGCCCTGAGGTGGGAGGTGCCCCTGGACCGGGCGGGGGGGGGTGGCCGTATGTCTAAGACACAGTCTTTACTCCCAAGGGGCCCATGGCTGGGCAGGGGAGGCAGAAGATAATCCCTCCTTGTGGTAAGTGTGATCATAGTCATATGAGGAAGGCTCCGTAGCAGCATTTTCCGAGATCCCGCGACTCTCGGTGTTCCACTGCATCTTCTCACCAGTCCCGGAGGATGGACACCGCCACCTCCATTGTGCAGAGGAAGAAGTGAAGCTCAGGGAAATGAAAGAAGCTGCCCCCAGCCACGCAGGAAAGGGTTGGTAACGGATCCCAGCCCACGCTGGTCTGGTCCAGAACCGTGTGTCCAGGATGAGGGGGTGCCCACCTCTTCAGAAGAGGCGGGAATGTGGGGCTGGAGGGCTCCCCTCTGGAATGCAGCACCCCGGATGGGTAGTGGCCCAAGCAAAGGCCATCTGAGCCCGAAGCTTCTTAGCCAATTCCCTCCTCCTCCTCGTCTCCTCCTGGGATGGGATTGAAACTGAGTTTAGCTCCTTTGTGTCCCATCTGGAAAGCAGAGGTCCTGCCCCCTTGGGGGCTCTGCTTCTGCCCCACCCCCTGCCTGTCCCCACATTCCAGTGGCTTTCAGCGCCCCACCAGGCCCTCCAGACAGTGGACATTTTACATTGCCCCTGTGGTCAGCTTTGGGCAGTGATAACAGGATTAGCCCCATGGAGGCAGATCACTTAATTAAACTTTGGGAGGAAGAACACCGTCTTCTCTCCTCATTGCGGCTCCAGGAAGGGGGAGTGGGGGCTCCTAATCAGTCAGGGATCTCACCGCCCATCCCTCTGCCTGTTGTTAATTCTGGCTCAGACAAAGGCGGAGAACATCCATCCATCATCCCTCCACCTATACGTCAGTTCCACAAGTATGGGCTGAGGTCCTCCCCTGTGCCCGGCAGGGAGGGATAATGGTGGATGGAACCGGCTTCCAGACTTGGTTTGGCCGATAGAAGGTTGCAGAAGTCATGCTGTGCCAAGCTCTGAGCCTAGACCTCAAGACACTTTGCAGCTTCTGCTCTCCCTTGGAGCTCTGCCTCCACCTTGAGAATGAGCCTGGGCGAGCCTGCTGGGGGATGAGTGACCGCGTGGAGGAGAGCCGGCTCCTCCCCATGGAGGCCATTCTGGACCATCCGTCAGCTGGCTGACCCGCCAACACGTGAGAGAGGCCCACTTCGACTGCAGCCACTAGCTGATCCACAGCTGACCACTGATGCATGAGAGACCTCAGATGGAGCCCAAGCTGTGACTCACCATCGCCCAGAACAAAACTTCATCTCTGAGTGTTGGGGCGGTTTGTCTCGAAGCATTATTGTAGGCATAGCTGACTGATACAGATTTCCCTTGCCTCTGTATTAAATCCAACCCCCCTCCCCCGCCCCACGCCTCCCCTAGTCCCATGTGACCCCTCCCTCACTCCTCCCTTCACTTCCTTTACCCCAGCCAGGTTTGCCTTCTGGCATGTATGTCCTTGTAAGAGTCTTGCTTTTTTCCTGCTCCTAACCATTCAGGCTGCACCTAGTAGGTCCTCGGTCAACGTCTGTAGGATGAATGAAGGGAGCAATGAACAGACACAGCCCCTCCTTGCACCTGTGGGACTTACCGTCGAGTGCAGGAGGTGATGCTTCCAAATCCCAAACTCTGCAGGCTCCGAGGGAGATCGGGGTGGGAGAAGCAGGCTGTCAAGAAAGCCTTCCCTGAGGAAGGCAGGTCTGAGCTGGGATCTGAAGGATGAGTAGCTTCTTTTTAGGTGAAGAGGGCAAGGAAGGGCATTTCAGGTGGAAGGAACACCAGACCAAGACCCTGAGACAGGAGGGAGCCTGACATGCTCCAAGAAACGAAGTGGACCCTTCATCTCACTTTCATCTCAGACCTCAGGACCTCCCTGGCTCATAAGAGAAACTAGTGCTAGACCCGGACAAGGGATCAAACCACTGTATAGACCAACGGTGGTCCGTGAGTCAAAGCTGGCCTGCAGCTGGGCTTTGTCCATCGTGTTCCAGGGGTCCAGTTACACCATTTGTGTCCACTCATCTCTGCAGGAGTGGCAGAGGTGAGGGGGTGCAGCAGAGATCATCGGGCCTCCAGAGAGGACAAGATGCACCATCGAGCCCTTTCCAGGGAGAGTTGGCCGGCCCGTGCACTGGACAAGCCGAGCGCGTCGATGCCCTTCTACAGAGAAACAGTGCTCCACACCGGCAAGCCCAGAGACTCACTCTCAGCCGTCTGGAGGCCGCTGGCCCTTCCCACAGGCCTCCTTTCTCTGCTGGGACTCCGGGGACAGAAAGCGAGACCCTGCCTTCTGGGGAGTGGCTGTGTCCAAGCAGGGGAGAGGAGTGGGGATTTGATAGAGAACTGGCGCTTCTGGAGAACCCGTGATCATCCTGAGACCAGGCATGTCCCACTCGGTGTTTCTGAGCCTCCTGGCAACCCCGTGAGGGATCACAACCCGCTTTGGCAGATGGGGAAACTGAGGCCCGTGGAAGTAAAGTGACTTGCCCAGGGCCAAGCACGGTGTGGTAGAACTACGGCTCAAACCAGTCTGTCTGACCGGGTTCTGTGTTTTTCTACAATCTGCCCCCTTGAAAGCGTATAAGATATTTCTTCTCCACATGAGAAACGGAGACTCTGAGGTGTCCCCCATTGTTGATACGGGGGACTGTTGGGTCGTTTCCATGTACTTTTCTGTTTCTATTATTATTATAATTGCAATACGCCAGACACATCATATATAATTCTCGCTTTGTCCGCACAACGATGAGATAGGTCATGTTATCATCCCCAGTTTACAGGTGGGGAAACTGAGCTCCAGACAGGGCTGCCATGTGCCCAAGCTGTGGTCAGGACAGAGCTGGGACTTGAACCCATTCCCCACCCCCACCCCCACCGCCTGCAGGTTTTCTCTGCCTTTGGCCGACCTCAGCGTTGTCACCTCCCATGCCTCGGGCTTTCATGGTCCAGAGTCTCCAGAATGCTCCCATCTGTTATCTGCTGTGTGGGGGAGGGGTGCAGGTGGTGAGCGAGGAGGGAGTGATTATCCCTGTTTGCTCAATGGGGAAACTGAGGCCTGAGGCGGGGAGTGGGCCCATCCAGCTGGGACAGCGGCTCTGCAGCCTTCCCCCTCTGCCTGGCCCCTTGATCAGAGCCCAAAGCCCCCGTCCCTCCCTCCCGCCCTCCCCAGGTCGGGCCCCCCCAGGGAGAGCCGAGGAGGACAGTGATGGATCTGGGCCAGCCTTCATTTTCATTCCCTCTCTACTTTAGCTGCTGCAGAGCGATGACAAGTGAGAACGTCTCTGACCCGGAGAAATTATCTTCCCTTCTCTTTCACGGCATAATTTTCTGCCCTCTCGTCTGGACAAGCCTGGGTGATTTTTAGCTACAAAAAAAAAAAGGGGGAAATTATCATTCAGGGAAAAAAAATAGAAGGAGGCTTCTAGCTCTCCGACAGACAGGCTGTCTCCCGGGTGAAAATGAGAATGTCCCCTCCTGTGAGCCCCAGGGACTTCGAGGGGTCGGTTCACCCTCGCAGGATGACGGCGGGCATCCCAGAAGGCAGGGCCTGTGGCCACAGAGGTGTCCAGTGGCCTGGGGCACCTGTGGTTTTCCAGGGCGCACCCCAATGCCCACCCCCGTGGGGGTGCACACCTTGAGGACTTCAGGGGGAAACAGTTTGGGTATGGGTCACCTGTGAGTGCCCCACGTCATCTGACCATCCATCCTCATGGTGCCCAGGACCCGGGCAACTGTCCGCCCAGCGTGTGGCTTTCTGGAAGTTTCTCTCCCCCCCCCCCCCCACATGCGCACACACGGCCACATACTTGGGGCCTGCTCCACATGTCAGCAAGGAAAGTACTATTTATTGACTTTTCAAAAAAAATCTCTATTTTTTCTGATTTAAAATTTCAAACAAGTAAAAGTTTAGCAAGTACAGGTCTGTTTTCTCAACCTTGAAGGTAAAAACTGCTAATGCTTTGGTGTCCGTTTTTCCAGACTTCTCCTTTCAAACCCCATGATTATAAACACGCAGACACATGCACACACACACTCACACGCACACTCACGCACCCCCAGTTGTGAAGCCACTGGCACTGGGATCTAAGAGTGCAGTTGCCAGAGTGAGCTGGTCTAATTTTGGCTCTGCTGTGTGACCCTGGGGGAGTGACTTTGCCTCTCTGAGTCCCAGTTTCATCATCTATAAAATGGGGACAGTAACAGCGTCAAGGGCTCTTTCGAGGAGAAAGCGGGGTAATGTGTGTAAAGCAGATACAGAGTCTGGCCTGGCATAAAAACTCCCCAAGATAATAGCCACCATTCTCATTATTATTATTATCATTATTATTAGCCCTGACTGGATGGGAGGGGGCTGCGTTCTTGTTCCGGGCCTGGAAGCAATCATGGGGCTTTTCAGCAAAGCAACTGTTCTGGTACCTTCTCTTCAACCTATGGCTGTGACTCTGAGGTCAGAGATGAGCCTTGTGGGTTTGGTGTGGACCCTGAAATGATGCACATGTGTGCTCCGCAGTCACTAAAATCAGTGTTCCTTTCTGGCAAAGAACTTTCCCTTTTATCAGATACTCAAAGTGGTCACTAACCCATAGGAGTTAAGGCTTAACACAAACTCTCTGCTTCTTGTGAAGACAGGCTTTTCTACTATGGGGATGCCGGGATTTGAACCCCTCTCTCAGGCAGGCAGTGTTCTGAGGACACTCGGAGTCCCAGAGACCATTTCAGGGGGTCTGCAGGGCCTTCCTTTTCCACCTTGTACTTTGTGGGCTGTGATTTTCTTCCTGCCCCTCAACCAAAACAACAGATTGCATCAGATTGAGTGAGAAGCAGGTTGGAGGATGTAAAACCAGGCATTACAGATTTGCAAAAAGGTCAAACGAGGCCACCTCTCTCACTACATTTATTACAGTTTTTGGAAAATATTATGAGCTTTCCATGACATATGTTAATATGTGATTGAGTTTATTAGTATTAAGTGAATTAAGTATTTTTAAATGTCTCACTTTTAATTTCTAAACAGTAAGTGTCAGTGGTTAGCACCCACATAAATGACATCTCTTTGAGGTCCTCACTATTTTAAGAATGGAAAGGGGTTGTGAGACTCAAAAGTTTGAGAACTGCTGCACTACAAACTTCTCTGGTTGAGAGAGAAGGGGCCAAGAGGTATCTGACTCTAACCCCGGGGATGGTGGGGGCTTCGGCTAAGGAGCATCCTAGGAGGTGTGGCAGGCAAAGCAGGACGGGGCAGGAAAAAGAGGTATAAGGATCAGGCCAGCTGGACATTAGCCAGGGACAGCCATCCTTAAGGGTCATAAAATCGGCAATAGACATGTAATGATATGGAGACAGTGGTGTTTTCTGGAACTCTTGTTGGGGGAGACTTATATAGGTCTGGACACTGATAAGGCTCTTGGAATAGGGAGTGAGACCCCCCCCCCAAGGAGATTTTTTTCATGTAAGAAAGATGTTTGCTAAACTGCCTTCCTAGGACTAGGAACTGCTTTGCTAAAGAAGATATGCAAGTTTAGGGCCGGAGCAGAATTGCTGTGGTTCATGCAGGAGAGGCTGAGCTCTTCCACCAGGGGGCGCTCATTCTTGCCATCTTGTCAGGAAGCTCTCTGGGGCTCCTTCAAACAATGCTGAGCAAGACCTTTAGTGGCTCTCAGTGTGAAGGGGCACCAAATTATTAGTGATGCTGGGCAGAAAATTTGGGCTGACTGAAAGAGAGAAGAAAGGGAGAAGCAGGTGGAGTCAAGAAAGAGGCAGTTAAGGACTCTGGGGCAGAAAACAGCTCCCATGCCTGTCAGAGTGAGCCTGTGGTACTGCAAGACTCAGGGTCCAAAGGGCAGACATGGGCTCACCCATTAGGAAAAGACGCTTGCCGAGAAGCGTCCCCAGGAGCCACAGGTTAGGAGAAAACCCCAAGCAGGCCCTTGAAGGAAGCTGGTGATAGGAAAGTCCCTTGGCCAATGAGCATGGATCATGTAATATATGAAATCTGTGTCTTAAGGGAACATATTCAGAGAGATGTATTGTTGAGACACCACTGTTTTTGCAGGTCGGAGGCTGACAATCAGGGCGCCCACCAGCCTTGTAAAGAGGCTAAGTGGCTCTGTCCCCAGTCTTCTGAGAAAGGGGAGCACTTTCTGTGCACCTGAGGAAATGCTGAATGCTCTTGGGAAGCAAGACCTGCAAGTCCTGGGGTTCTAGGGAAGTGAGCCGTGAGAGGGACAAGCCATATCACCTCCAAGAGGGAGGGGTGGAGGTCTGGGGTGAGCAGGATCTGGGGGGTGACTCTCTACTCTCATACCTTGCTTCCAGAACGTTCCAGAACATTCCTGGGGTGTGCTGTGGGCTCAGACACTGAATCTCCATCAGTCAGGGTGGTGGTAGGCTGGAGGGTTTAATAGAGGTGGGGGCAAGGTTAAGAGGCATCACTAAGGTGGGGTGGGGGTGAAGTGCCTTGGGACTGGCAACAGTGGGGAATCACTGCAAGTCTGCCTGGAGGAGGCAGGGTGCCCCGAGAGCTCATGCTTTCCCAGTGGGGTCCATATCACCCCCAAAGAGGCAAAAATGGGTGCTTGGGGCATGAAACAAGCTTACCTTTTTATGTAGGAAGCATACAGCATCAATATGCATGCCTAAACAGATACCCAGCATGTCGGTGGTATTGCAATTTAAGTAGGGGGGAGAGTGATTAGGGAAAGAATGTCTAACAACTCCCTGTGGGGGGATGGTGACAAAATAAAGAACAAAGAATCTGTAGCTGATGGAGAGAGCTGCTGGTCAGACACTGGGGCTGTTGGTGGTGGCTGGGTGGCGGGGACCAGTCAGTCCAGGGGGGCCCACCAGCAGAGGGTCTAACAAATGAATAACCCAACCCCTCCCCGCTCCTGCCTCTCATCTTCTACCAGGGCCCTTCCCCCGGCCTAACACAACTTGACCCTGAAAGGGAGTCCACTGATGCCGTCCATCTGGGCACAGAGCAGGGCAGAGAACGGTGGAAACTAGATTCGGAGGGCAGGGTGCAAACGGATGATAACCAGCGGATTAATTTCTACCCCTTACAAGCTGAGTGACTTCAGGTAAGATCTGTTTGACACCATTTTCAGCCTGACTTCCCAGCTCTCTGTTAGGAACTATATTCCTCTCTCCCTCTCTGTGCAAGAAATAAGGTCAGAAGTTGGGTGGTTCAAAAGTGAGTATGTCAATCATGGTATTTGGGGAGCTTGTGGTTTAATAGGGAGTTAGACTTGCAGATGGGGCAGTTACTCTGCAGGGATGTACAGAGGTTATGTGAGGTGAGGAGGAGGCGGTGAAGCATCCAGGAGAGGACCCTGAAGAGATGGGCAGTGCGCTTCATGCTACTGAGGCTCGTCTGTCTCTGTGCCCCCGTTTGTGCCTTTCCACCCTGGAATGCTTATCCATGCCCTCTCCATCTGCTTAAGGTTGACCTGTCCAACTTGAGGTCTGTCTTATCCACAAAGCCTTTTCTTCTCTTGACACAAGGTCTATGCCAACTTCTTTCTTGAGATTTCTCGGAGCAGAGGCAATCCCAGCTTTTAATTATTTCTGGTATCTTGTCTCCTCTAATAGACCGTGAACACCTAGAGGGAGGAAGGCTAGGGCCACCCTTGAGACAGAAGTCCCAGGGCCCAGGGTTGTTGTTACCCATCCAAATTACCTGGTGACAGCTGCAGTGTCTTTACTTAAAAAACAAAACCCAAAAAACTAGCTGGAGCTTTGAAACCCCCACCAATGTCCCAGACGAGTCATTACAGAATCTCTGGGGGTGGGGTCAAGGCCTATGTTTTTCAAAAACTCCCCCGCTGACCCTCATGTACAGCCAGGTGCAGGATCAATCACAGAACAGGCTTTACAACTGGATTACATATGCACGTGGATATCTATAGTCTTATTTGAGGTCGAGCTTAGATGAAAGGCACATTTCCCCGAATTTCTACCTCTGTAAACACTTGCATAACCTCCCCCCACCCCAACCCCGCCCATCAAGACATGGGACACCAGCAGCCCGGCAGCAGGCTCCCCCCAAGGTCGACCACTGCTCTGACCTTTAGCACCATCCAACCGCTTTGCCTCTTCTTGACCTTCAGCCCGGTGGAGTCCCGCAGCGATTCTGTGTCTGGCTTCTTTCACTCGATGAACACTCTCTGTGAGATTCGTCCATGCTGTTGTGTATACCAGTCGTTCCTTTTTATCTGCGGAGTGGTAGTCACTCGTGTGGCCACGCCACGGTTTATTTACCCGTTCTACTGCTGAGAAGACATTTGGGGTGCTCCCAGGACCTAGCTCTTGCGAACAAAGCTGCCGCGAACATTCTCATACAGATCTTTTGGTGTCTGGGTCTTATTTGAATTACACTTTCTGTCTTTCTCCTTTTCCCTTATACCCCACAGCCAATTTTTTTTTAATAGTAAACAAGTCAACAGCAAGGCTTGCCTTGAGCCGGGAAAGAGAAGTCCGACCACGGGGCCGCATCCCTGCGACTGGGGTCCAGCGCGCTGCAGACCAGCACAGAACACAGAGCCAAGTGCAAGCTGGGGGGGTTTCTGCAACGTCTCTTAGCTTCTTCCTGCAAGTCCTTGTATTTTCAGTAACACCAAGGCCTTGGGAGGCTTCCTCTGGGATGCCGTACCCTTGAAGGGTTCCAGATGCTGCTTACCACTGAAAGCAGTGTGGTCTTTAGCATTTATGCCACACGTGGTGTTTTCCAGGCCTAGAACGGCCACGTCCCGGTGGAAAGGCAGCGAAAGCACATTCTCTAGCACAGACCGTGGCAGTTGGATGTTCTTGATTCTTAGTTCTGGGGCAGCTCCCCTAACATTCATTTTTATATTTCAGCATCCACCTTTGGTCTTGGATGATTCCTGCACTCGGGACGGTATGCACACAGTAGGTCTTCAACAAATGTTCGCTGATGGGATGTCAACACGCCACAAGCTTAGGCAGAGGGCTGTGGATTCAGGATCTACAGCATTGGCACCTTCCCCTTGGGCGTGATGGTTTCTCTTGGCCCAACTGGCCCTTGACCGCAGGTCAAGGGATTCGATTAAGGGGGCAGGACTGGGACTGGCCTGCTGCCGGATGCTCGGAACCAGGGCTCACATGTTCTTCCCCTCCGGTAGAACATCACTGATGTTCTCGATGCTAGGCGATCTGGAGTTAGTGGCCGCTGTATGATTTCTATTTCAATGCATACTTCTGCTTAAGAATTTATGTGGACCTCTTGAGAGAACAAAAAACACTGAACACATTTCTTTTTTTTTCCTTCTTCTAATACGTAAAGAATTTGCACGTTCTCATAATTTCTCTCTCCTATTGCACAGAACATTTATTGTCATAATGTGCCTCAAACTCTGGAGACCTGGCGGGGAGCACAAGGGCCTTGTCAGGGGTTCTGTAGCAGCATTTTCTCCCTTCTCTCCCTCTTGTTTTCCATCATCTCTGGCTCTTTCCCCACCTACATTCAAAGAACCCATGAACTAAACCCCAGAAAGCAGTCTTTTGTACATGGGGAGGCCTGCCCCTGCCCCCAGCTTGCTTTTGGGTGAAATAAGGGTCATCGGTAAAATGAGGACCTGTGTCTATCTCGATTCACTTCCTTTTAGCCCTTCCCAGTAAAGAGGGGACTTGAAGTAGGTCAGCATTTCATACAAATCACGAACATTCCATATTCAAGTAAACGGTAGGTTCATTTTACCGTCAAGGACGGTTCTTCCACATCTGGTGCTCTGTTTCAGAATCTCAAGGCTGTTGCTTTTGAACTCAGGCACACCCACTCACTTCTCTCCAGCCCCAATTCCTTACCCGATGTACCAGCCCAGGCATGCCTTTGAAAACAAAAAACAGAAAAACCAACTAACTATGTCTTAAATGAATGGGGCCATTCCTCCCACATACTGAAAAATCTGGAGGGAGGTACCTGGTGTGGAATTTAAATGGCTTGCCTGTCTTTGTGAGTCTCTTGGCCTTTCCCTCAAGGTTGCAAAATGGCTGCTGCAGCTCCGGGCATCACATCTGAGTTAAAAGCAATAAGAAGTGGGGAAGAGTGAGGGCCTGCAGTTTCACTACCCTTTTATCAGGAAAACAAAAACTTGGGCTGGAAAGCTTCTAACAGATTTCTGCTTGGGTCTGATTGGCTAGAATGGTGTCTCAGACACTTCCAGCTGCCATGGCAGGGGGTAAGCAGGTAGAAGGCAATGCAGGCAGAGGGAGTGGGAACCAGGTGTTATCCACAGTGTCCGCCACATCCCATTTTCACCCCATCTCCTGTGCTTCACTGTTGCATCCGTGATGTCTTTCCTGTCTGAATGAATGGTGAGCCTCTGTGTAGCTGCGAATCTGTCAACTTCATCCTTCCCTCATCCGCCGCGCTGCAGGAACCGGGCCAGCTTTCAGTCCTCCACCACACGGTCTGCCTGCCTCTGGACCTTGGGACTTGCTTGTTTCTGCCCGAGATGCTGCAGCCCACCTCCAATGTCCGCGAGCATGGGGTGGCTCCCTTTCTGGATTCGATTCTTGGCTGGAAAGTTGCTTTCTAGGGCGGGCTTCCCAGATTACCCCTCGGCTGAGCCTGCCCTTTCCCTAGCCGTCACCCCTACTTGCAATTGTACATTTCTTCATTCCTGGTTTATCGTCTGTTTTCCCACAAGACTTCAGCAGGTACGTTCCCGTGCAAGGCAAGAGTACCAGGCTCTCAATGAGTATTTGTTGAATGAATAAGGGAAAGGAAAAAAACATCGATAGTCTCAGAACTGTTGGCGGGTATTGGCAAGTGGGGGCTACGGCTCAAATTAGCCCAGGACTTGAACTGCTCCTAATAGCACTGTGGTTAGGAATAAAACGTGTGTGTGCACACGCATGCTCACACACCCACACATTCCAAAGTGAAACTGAACGAGGAGAAGAGAGCAGGGGAATCTGGAGGCGTAATAAAGATGCTTTCACGTGTCCCACTGGCCTTTTTGCTTCATTCCTGGACCACGAGGCTGAGGACGGCAGCATCAGTAGACAGATGACAGAATTAATCATTTGCAGTGGCTGGCTTATTTTTAGGCCCAAATGCATTTCTTTCCATGCGGGCCCCGTGTCGCAAGCTCGTGTTCATCGGGCCACGGCATGGAGGGACCGGGCTGTGTTTCACATGCAATGCACGTACGCACCTTTGTGTGGAGCCCACCCAGCCTTGGGTTGAGGGGTCTCAGTGCACGTGTGGACACTCGTGCCCCTTCTTCACCCCGGCGACCTCCCAACTCGAAGCTGCCTTCTAAGAGTCATCTCTGTGCAAAGGCCATTTCTGCCAAACGTTAACCTTCCCAGGCCAGGGCCCTGTCTCTCATCTTTACCACCCCAGTGCCCAGCACCCAGTGGGTGCTTACTAAACCCTTGTTGCTTTCTCTAAGTATTTTATTTATTTGACAGAGAGAGAGACAGAAGGAGAGAGAGCGAGAGCAAGCACAAGCAGGGGGAGGGGTAGAGAGAGAGGAAGCAGACTCCCCGCTGAGCAGGGAGCCCCACGCAGGACTCGATCTGAAGACCCCCGGGATCATGACCTGAGCCGAAGGCAGACGCTTAACCGCCTGAGCCACCCAGGCACCCCTAAATGCTTGTTGCTTTCATGCCAAACCTCACTTTCTTCCCATCTTCCAGAAGACTCCGTGCCTTGCACGTGAAGTTTATTCAATTCAATCTGGTCTTATTAACCCCACACCAGACTGGAAGCTCTCTTCAGCAGAGGGGCGTGGCCTGGCCCCTCGTGCCCCGCCCATTGCGGAGCTCTGTGCAAGTCCATCCGCTCCCCGGAGTTGAGGCCCTCTGGAAGAGGGGGGCCCCCCGCAGAGGGGGCCTTCCCAAGGCTGGTGCACTGACCCGGCTGCCGTGAACTCAGAGCAGTGTGAGCTGCCGCATTTTGTAAAAGGAGGCTGGAAAGAAGCTTGAGGACACCTTCCTCCTCCCCTACCTTGGGCCTCCGGAATATTCTGGATCTGAGAACACCAGTGACTCCTGGAGGGAGGCATCGGACAACCGAGTGGCTGGAGAGAGAAAACAGGCACGAACGGCTTCAAGCGGCCAGGCCATCCCCTCCCCCTGCACGGTGCCCAGTCCCCCACTGCTGGGGTCTCTCCATCTAGCCAAGGTGGCTTCCCTGAGACCTCTTCCCACCCCAGCGCAGCGCTGGCCCAGCTTTCGGAGGCGCCCAGGGCGGGTGAGCTCCCGCACTGAGCATCTGCAGCTGGGCCGTCTGGGTGGAGGATGCAGGATGGGGGCCGCCTGGGCAGCCCCCACTGGGGACCTGGGTAGCATCTCCTCTGTCCAGGACAGGAGGGCAGTCGCCTGGGCCTCGGCCAGAGCCCACAGCGGACGCTCAGGCCTCTTCTCTCCAGCGATGCCATTCTCAGAACCAGGAGAGGGAATCTGAATAAAGACGAGCCGGAGAGAGCCTCCCGGCCCCCACTGCCGTTTCCAGGCGACACACGGGGGCTGTCGCGGTCGCTGTCATACAAACCCTTTTCCCGTAAGACGGCAGGTCCCACGGGGAGAAGGGGTGAAGTGGAATATTTTATCAGCCATGTACATATGTAACCAGAAATGGGGCTGAAAAGCAAAACCTCGTTTGCCTGAATAGGGGGAAGGCAGGAGGGCTGGAGAGGGCGGGCGGAGGTGGCGGGACGGGGCTTATCTCTGCAAGGTCAACAGCCAGAACACGGCTGCGGCCACAGATCTCGCCCTCCGAGTTGTCAACGGGGAAAATGCCCACACAGGGGGCTGTTCTGGGGACGCAGTTTAAACGGCATCTTGTTTTTGCGTTTGGAAATAAGAACCCAATATACATATAAAAGGTGAAGAAAGAAAAGGAAAACAAGAAAGACGTGCAGGCACAGGAGCCAGATTTCTCGCCCATGGGCCACTTGTCACTCGTGGTTTGAAGATAGTTTTGTTCCCGGGGTGGGTCAGGTCCTAAGCGCTGGTTGCCTGGGGCTGACGTTCCAGATTCATTCCACGGCATGGGCAGGTCGCTGAGATGCTCCACAGAGAGAGGCCGGCTTCCTCCTGGGGTCCGAGGAGGCTGGAGGTTGTCCAGGGATGCAGAGTGGAAGGTGCAGGCTCTCCTCTGCTCCGAAAAAGGCAGCCGTCTCTCCCCGGCCCTGGTGAGCGCCATCAGCCAAGGATCTAAAGAATGAGATTAAAATAATAATAATAATAATAATAATAATAATAATAATAATAATAATAATAATATGAAACACTTGCTTTGCCCAAGACTGAGCCTGAAAGTAACCAACCTTGCAAACGGCCACCAGCCCTCCTGCCCAGGGAAAGCCACCCCTTGCCTCGCAAGGTGCCTCGTGAAGGAGGCTGTGGTGCTGCCTGGGCTGCTGGGCGGGGAGGTCTGGGGCGGGGGGAGGGAAGAAGGCAGACCCACTTGCCGCCTGGAGCCTGGCCTGGGTGCACATTTCCAAAGAACAGACCATGCAACCGGTCAGAGGGACACCCTCCAGCGGCTCCGCCCAGACGCGCAGGGTGGGACTCCTGCCTCAGCTCATCCAAAAGTTTGCGAGGTTATTATTAAAGTTAAAGCGAAGAGGGATGGAGACGGAGAGAGAGGGAGAGGAGAGGAAAGAGAGGGCGAGCGAGGGAAATGCAAGAACCCATCTGGGCAATGCATCACATTGAAATTGCCCCGCATTAAAAATTCACCAGCCAGTGAATTTTCAAGGGATTTGTAGTAATTAGATGACAAAATGCTGGCAAATCTCAGGCTTGCCAAAGATGTTACTCAGGGGTCAAAGACTCGACACTTTCGGCTGGGTAATTTGTAAGTGTCAATCACTTGTAGCCATCAGAGAGCAGCCAGGATCTACCGGCTGCATTCTAACTAAGGCGAGACGAGCCCTCAGCCGGCCGGCTGCCAGCAAAGCCCCAGACTCCCGGACCCCCGGCCCGCCGCCCCCCGGGCACACACAGCGCCTGCCGCCCCAAGCGTCCAGGGTCCTGTTTGATTTTACTCCCCTTTTCCCTTCTCCAAAGCAGCGGGCTTGCCAGGAGTTAGCTGGATGTCCCTCCTTCAAGGAGGAGAAAGTGTCCTGCGGCCAGAGCCACGAGGGCACAATGGGGGCTTTCTGTGCTGGGGCAGGGGGGCCCTCAGCGTTCTCCTCTGTGAAGGGGGGATGAGAAGGCTCGCCTCGAAGGGTCATTCTGACCGAAGGAGGGTGCTCTCTACTGAGCCGACATTGTTACTGGCTCTGGGTCGACCTGCCCCTTGCCCCCAGAGCTGTGCCGGGCTCTGAGGCCTCAGCAGTGACCAATAACACGTCTGCGCTCGTGGAACTTTCTAGCTGGGGGCGGCAGGAGGAACAGGCGATAAACACACTGATAGCAAGTACGTCAGAGTGTGGTAAATGCTCAGAAGAAAATGAAACAAGAGTCAGGGGGATGAAGTGTGTCGGGGACACTACTGTGTACGCAGTGGGAGGGTCCTGCCGGGTGAGGTCACGTCTGAGGAGAAAACAAGGGGCAGAGGATGTGCAACAGAGGATGATTCTGTTACGGGAATCATCACGAGGCTGGAGACGGAGGGACAAAAGTGGACAGGGGTATGGGGCGGGGGGCTTAGCTCCTGCAGCCTTGGACGCTTTGAGGCCCCGTGAGGCAGGACTCAGTGCAGCCCAGCCTGGCGGGCCTCTGGTCACATCTGCCCTGGAGTCGTCGCGGAAGAGGAAGCCCACGGAAGTGCTGTGTGCGGCCCCTGGACCTGCCTGTGGGGCCGGGCCTACACTTGCCCGACGGTCTCATTCCCCCTGCCCCGGGCTGAGTGTAAGTGAGCGGCCCGGCGGCCTAGTGACTGCCTGGAGCCCAGACTGGACATGTTCCCAAGAGGATGGGCACGGAGGGAACCGCTCTCTTTCTCTCTCTCTCTCTCTCTCTCTCTCTCTCTCTCTCGATGCCCCCATCCTTCAGGGTATTTTCTGTGGAGAGCACTGTCTTTGCAGTCAGACAGACTCTGGGCCCTAAAGCCTCACTCTGCTGTTTCCAGACTGTCACGGCGGGCAAGCCACCACACCTCTCTGGGCCTCAGCTTCTGCATCTGGAAAACGGGCACATGAACCCCACTCTCACGGTTATGGACGGGCTTTAGTCTCGAGAATCTGGCCCCAGGGAGGTCCTCCACGGAAGCCTTTCTAACTCACACAGCCCCTATAAATGAAAGATGATCATGCTCCGACGGGCCATGCAAGAGTATCCCAAAGAGCAAAAGCCTTCGGAGGCGGGCCCTCCCTTTAGGGGGATGAACTGAAGGCACATCTCTGCGTTCAAAGGTAAGGAGCTGCTGGAACAAGGTGTCTTCGGACAGTTTGCTGCCCAGTGTGCAAATGTCCAAAGCGAATCTAAATGCTGGGCATCGTTATGTATTTGGTGAAGACACACACTGGGTCTGCGGAGGGGCCGGCGCTAGTATTTATAAATCACCCTCTCCCTCGAGCTTTCTGGTTATTTGTTGGTGGTGGGGGAAGGGCGTGGTGTTGGGTGTACTCAGCCCCCTCACCCGCCTCCCTCCCTGGGCCTGGGTCTCCAGCCAGCGAGCCTTCGCTGCAGGTGAAACCGCTCAAGGGGAAAATGAGAAACTTGCCGTGTTTCACGGGCAGCGGCGGGATGTGCTGGCCAACACTCACCGCGCCCCGGGCGCACAGGGAGGCCGATGCCCTGGGACTGGGGGGCCAGCACCCGCGGCCCCCACTGCACCCACGCAGGGCCCCCCTACATCTTGGAGGCACGGCGGCCCATCTATTCCCCACGGCCCCTCGAGAACGTCGCCTGGCTCTGCAGTTCAGACGGGGGCGTGTGGCACTGACCCCGCATCTGCTGGAGAATCAATGAGACCACGACTAGCTCTGCAAGTAACAGTACCCACCACCACCGTGGCTGTTATTTGCTGAGCACTTACTACGCGCTAGGCGCCTCATGGAGGCCCCTGGCGAGCGCCGTCTCAGAACCCAGTGACCAGACCTGGTCAGTGGCACCCCCGAGCCCCCGGGAAGGCGCCCCCCTCCACGTCCAGGGCCCCTCACCTGGCTCCGAGTTCCAGCCCCTCTCTCTGCCTGACAGGATGTTACATATACGGTGTGGACGGAGGCAGGCTTGTTTGCGATGGAGGCAGGTGACCTCCTCACCTCCCTGGGTCACAGAGGCCATGGCTTTTAAACTACCCGTTTGTCATCAGAAAAAGAGCCGGTGTGGTGGGGACGGTGCCTGGAGGACACTGGGGATGGGTCCTGGCCACTGAGGGTGAGCAGAGGCAGCGGCTTGTGCCGGGCACATGGCCTTCTGAAGGCTACGCCAAGCTCCCAGCAACCAGGAGCCGCATATGCCCGCGGCCTCCGCATCCTTCCACGCGCACGACCATGCAGACACGTCCCCGCGTCCCCTCAGAGCCAGGAGCCTCCTCTGCTCCCAGGACAGACACCATGTCCGTCTTCTGTCTGCTCCCCGTCCGGCCCATGGGCTCTGCAGGGCAGGGGCTGGGTCTGCGCTCCTCCCCAGGGACCCCAGGGCCCCGGGAAGGTGCTAGTCACTGTTCCTCGGAAGGAACAAAAGCATGGGGCTCTCGCATGGGCCTCGGGGATCAGAGTCAGGGAGTCTGGGCAGAACACCATGACGGCCTCTTTCTTCAGAGCTGGGCGACTCTGGGGGGGGGGATCCCCAGCACAGTCCTGAGCCTCTGTTTCCTGAACTGCCAAAGTGGGGAGGGAAATAGTGCGCATGGGCCCCTGGCCTGAAGTGAGGATTCAGTAATTGATCCTTCGACTTCATCATATCATGGAATCCCCAGGGCCTAGAACTGAACTCTCAAAGAAAGATGGCCAAGCCATTAGGACTCCGAGCCCAGCCCCGAGAACCTGGCCAAGAGGTGTCTGCAAGCCTGCCAGGGCTTCTAAAGGGGGGGCCCACTCCAGGTCGACCACGGTCCCCGAGGGAACTGCCTTTGCCTCTGGAGACAGAACGGCCGCCCCTGCTGGGAGTCGGGGGCCTGGTGTTGCTCCCGCACCCACTGTGCGGATGGGCTGGGAAGGCGGACGCCGCTCGTCCTGGCCACGAGGGGCCGTGGCACGACAGCGGTGCCCTGGGAAAGGCAAGGATGCGGGGGGCAGACCCCCACCAGCTCCCCCTGGTGCGTGAGGGAAAGGGACGGGCTCTGGCGGCCAAGTGGGCCGAGTGGTACAGCCCGGAGTGCAGACCACACACCAGCCCCGACTCCACCCCAGAGCTGTGTGGTCTTGGGCAAGGCACCCAACCTCTCGGAGTTGCCGCTTCCTCACTGCAGGTCGGGATGGGGGAAACGGCGCCCATCTCCTGGGGTGGTGGGTTAACTGAGTCATCGGTGGTTAGGGCAGTGATGACAATGGTCACGTTATCAGGACGGTGGATAAAAGCAGGATGGGGGGGCCGAGGGAGGAAGGTGACCCTCACTCTATGCCCTCGGTGCGCCAGGGGCTTCATGCGTCCCTTTCAGCCCACGGATGCCCCCTGCAGGGGGGGCCGCAGCCCAGTGAATCCTCCAAGGTGGGTGTTCTCGTCCCACCTCGAGGAGACTGAAGCACAGACAGCCCAGGGGACTCGGTCCCGAGGCCGCAGGGCTTGTAAGAGCAGAGCTGGATCTCCCCCCGAGTCTGGCCTGTTCCCAGGGGGCTGTCCTTAATCCTGATCCCCTGACCTCAGGCTGTGGGGTGGACGGAGGAGCTCAGCACCCACGGCACCCACGGCGAGTGCTCAGAACAGGCCTGGGCTCTACCCTGGCCCCCCTGGGCGCGGCTCTCCGTGGATGTGGTCAGGAGTGCCGGGAGAGGGATGCCGCCCGGTCCCAGAGGGAAGGACAGGCACCTGCCGGGGATCCCCCCCGGACCCTCGATGCCGGCCAGATGCGGGTGGGCACCAGCATCCCCGAAAGGCGGCCTCGCCTCTCCCCACCTCTCCCCCTCCTTCCACTGCAGCCTTCCCCGGAGCCTGCTCCCCACTTCCCGGGAGGGTGCCGGCTCTCGCCCATGAGCCCTGCTCCCCACGCTGTCTGTGTTGGGCTTTGCAGTTCCAGTCACATCGTGCCCGCACTTGCCTGCCGCCGCACGCCACTGCCACTCTCCTTTCCTGGACCCAGTTTGGGGTGAAAGCCTTCCTTATTAGTCAATCTGGATCCCACTTACTGTGAATTACCAGGCCTGATTGATATTCATGAGTGGATCCATCTGAAACCTCAGACAGCTGTCACATGACTCTCTGCCTTGGGGGATGTGGGGACCGAAGCAGCCCTGACACGCCGCGGTGGCCCCCAGCTGGGGACAGCGGGGGGGGGGGCTGGGAGCCGCCTCTGGCTGACACTGGTCCACCCCCAGCGGTGGCCGGGACCGGAAGGTGCCAGTGGGACCTTCCAGTCTGGATGGGCGATGACAGACGCAGGTGCCAGGGGCTCGGATGGAAAGGGACCGGCAGCCAGACTCGGCTCCCAGGCCCCGGCGCTGCAGCTTTGCACGGGCCTGTACCCCCTCTCCGCTTCCCCTCTGCTTGGCCCCCTCCCTCTCCCCCTGCAGCTGGGACGTCACTTCTCAGAGCCGCCTTCCCAGCACCCCCATCTGCACAAGACCCCTGACACTGTTCTCACGGCCACCACACTGTCCCCGCACGCACGCTGCAGGGGACCACAGTCCACGATCTCATTTCTGGCGCTGGGGGCCCGGTGCAGGGCAGCATTCTGTAAGACTCAGTGGGATGAGCAGAAGTGCTCCCCACGGACCAGGCCCTGGGCTGTGGCTCAGCACCCACCTCCTGGGGGCCTCGGAAAGCCCCCAGGAGGGACGGCCTTTTCTCCTATTTTCAGAGGAAGCAGATGCAGAGATTCGAGACCCGGGAAGCAGAATCCAGGCTGGGTGATTCTCAAGCCTGCGCTTCTGGGCCCTTGACCTCTCACCCCCAAGGGCTTGGGTTTCTGGGAAGTACTCTCATCTGGAGGGTCTGGCGGCTTTCGTTCCCGAAGCCAAGGCTCCCAGGCAAGACATGGTAAAAGTAAATACTTGACGGGCAACTTGGAGAAAGTAAAAATGCTGACAGCACTCCTCCTCCATCATTCTGCAAACCGCTTTGCAGAGTGGCGGCTGCCTGGATGGACGCGGCCAGTGCTCCATGGACATCACCGCCTGGCTGAGCAGAGGAGAGAGCCCGGAGCTGGGATGGCTTTTTGCACACGAGAAAGTCCAAGCCTGGGCTCCTCCGAGCAAGACCAAGGGGGACCTGCTTTTCAGCAGCCCCCAGAACCGCGGCTGCACCAGCTGGGTGGAGAGGCGGGGCGGTGCTGTCATCCTGATCTGGGGCTACAGAGTCAGGGTGGGAGGCCCGGGGAGGACAGAGGAGCCAGCAGAATGCAGAGAAATGAGGCTAACTCCCAAACAGTTCCCAGAGAAAATGGGGTTTGGACAGAGTCTTGAGGGCCAGAATAGACCAGATCAGGCTCCCAAGGACCCCGGGGCATCTTTTGAAGGAAGGCTGAGAGCTGTTTCCAGGCCAAGCTGAGCAGGCCGAGCCAGGGGACACAGGCCCGCCGAGGGCGGGGAGGGCATCTGTGGGTCGCCCCCAGGCAGTTCCAGGGCCCACCTAGCTGTTATGATCCAGCAGGACAGACCAGACAGTGCAGGGAAGACAAAGTGCACAGAAACTCCCCATAGGAGGGAATTAACTCGATGGTCCACTCACACCCCGGGGCTTGGCGAGTGCCCTCTAGGTCCCTTGACAGCATGAACGCTCTTGAAGCGAGAAGGCAACTGGGGAAGCCTCTCTTGCCTGGCTAGGATTTCCCTGGTTTTGGCAATGAAGACTCTCTGTCCTGTTTCTCAAGAGGCCAGACCAGGGACGACCTGGATTCCTGCGAATACTTGGTGGCTGCCTCCCCTGGTGGGTAGGGCACAAGACCCGGGCCCTGCCCTCAAAGGGCTTGCAGTCGTGGGCAGTGCCGGAGCAGTGACAAGCCGGGGGAGGACCCGAGGAAGAGCACCCGAGTCTGAGGTGGCTGGCGGGGACAGGCGAGCAGGAGGTGGCCCGAGGGATGGGCTGGGGTGGGGGCACAAGGGAGAGGGAGGCCATCCCCCTAGTCTAGACTGCAGGTGGTGCCCAAGGAGGGGTTGGCTGCAAGGCACGTTTAAGAGGTGTGTGGGGGAGGGACTGCATCCAAGCCCTGATCCCCGCCCCCCCCACTGCACCTCTGCCTCTTGGCAGTCCCCTCCCTCCACGACCGCAGGCTCTGCCACGTGGCTTACTGTGGCCATTGGGGCAGCACTGAACATGTCTTCACGTGGAAGCCAGACCCACGGGTCTCCGGGGTTTTTCACCAGGTCTAAGATAGTAGGCTTTAAACTTTTCTTGGGTTAAGAATCCAGGGAGGCACATTCTGGACCTTTGAAGGGTGCTCCTGTGGGGTCAAGAACTCAAGTCAGCTCAGAGGGTGGAAATCAGGTGGAAAATGCCCCAGGAAGAGCCCAGACATCGGTGCCAGAGGCTGCTGGCTGGCCCCACCCTCCCTCTCTTGCCTCCCGAAACTGGAGAGGGTTGAGGGCTCTGGACCCAAGCCACAGCCCCAGGTCCTGTGCGAACCACGGACGGAAGCAGGGCTGTCTGTCGGCACTCAGCAGCTTCCGTCCTTCTCCCACGGGGCCCAGGGGAAGGAGGAGATGGTCCAGTCCACCCTGCAGTGGCATATGGCACACACCCACCTTTGTCTGGCACCTTCCGGACTACGCACTGCTTCACTTCCCCAAGCCTCGGTTTCCCACTTGTGCAACGAGAGTGACAGCCTCTGCCTTGGGGCTCAGCCGACATGCCACTGAGCTTGCGACTTCAAGTGCTTTGTCAACTGCAGGGTGACACGTGGACCTATGAGGCGGCAGCGGTATGATCGCCTGGAATCTTTCTGGGGACCAGGAGAGGGGAGGGCTCCTGACAGTTCCCAAGGATGGGGCGCTGAGGCCCCAGTGGATCGTTTTCATGAAAGCTGCAATTAAGGGGAAGTGGGGTTTATTAAGGAAGCTGGAGGGGACTCAGCCCTGGCTTCTGGCGATGCTCTAATTAGATTGCAGGGCCCCTTTTATTGGGCCGCTCAGCCAGAAGGCCCTGGGCTCGGGTCTTGTGCTGGAGCACTGGGTCTCCTGGGTGGCGGGTGATGGCGCAGACCTGGGGGACACATCTTTATGTTGCTCTACCAGCAGCGATGGCTTGTACGGTGTTCACCAAGTGGCGGGGCACGGGTTTCGCCCTCATTTAATCCTTAGAACTCTGGTGAGTTGGGACTGCTGATGCTCTCAGTTCATAGATGAGGCCACCGAGGCACAGAGAGGTCAAGGAGCTGGCTCAAGGTCATGCTGCGGGTAAGGGGCAGAGTCGGGATTTGAGCCCAGAGAGCCTGGCTCGGGCTATGCTCCGAATGGGGAGTTCTGTATGGTGTGACCTTGTAGAAACCACTGGCCCCGTCTGGGGCGAGCTTTCTGAGCTGTAAAATCACAGAGGCTTGCTTTAGATTGGGACTCTGCAAACTTGATGTGAAGGGTCAGATGGTAAGTATTAGAGGCTTGGCAGGCGGTACAGTCTCTCTTGCAATTATTCAAGTCTGCTGCCGTAGCAGGAAACCAGCAGGCACCGTATGTAAACCAGTGGGCGTGGCCGTGTGCCAATAAAACTTTACACAGACAGGCAGTGGCTGGATCTGGCCCCCGGGCTGCAGTTTGCCAACCCCTGGTTTAGAACATTCATGGCTCTTCTTCACCCCTTCCATTTTACTATATTCACGGTCTAATAATTTCCTTTACACTCATACACTGTTTTTTTTTTTTTTTACCTCCTCCGTAGGAGTTTGGTGACATCGTAGGTTTGATGAGCTAGCTGTGCATTCGTATTTGCAACATGCATGTGAAAATAAACTCATACATTACAAGTTTGCCCCTGGGCTAAAATCTTCTCGTGACCCCTGAAGCCTGCACACCATGCTTTGTGAGCAGTTTACATGTTACCTTGGGTCTTCAAACCTTGGGGTGTTGAGGTGGAGGATGAATATGTGGGGGGGCCAGGCCTCACACCCTGATTTTGAACAGAGCAGTTCTGTTGTTCTCTATGTTGGGGTTCTGCATAAAGCTTTTGTTTGGAAAAGGGGGTCCTGTGGCCAAGAGAGTTTGGAACTATCTAGGGGTGGCTTAAAAATGAACTTGAAAGTTCTGAGCTTTGAGCTACGATTTACTGGCTCTGCCTACGTGGCGCTCTGAGTCCCCCACATTGCTTCTTAGATTTCTTTTTTTTTTTTTTTTTGAAGATTCTATTTATTTATTTGACAGAGACAGAGAGGGAGCTCAAGCACAAGCAGGGGGAATGGGCAGAGGGAGAGGGAGAAGCAGACTCCCCGCTGAGCAGGGAGCCCGATGTGGGGCTCGATCCCAGGACCCCAGGATCATGACCTGAGACGAAGGCAGATGCTTCATCGACTGAGCCACCCAGGCGCCCTGCTTCTTAGATTTCTTACAGAAAAGCAGATGATTTCCCATTATGCCTTTGGCCCAGCCCTCTCTGGTGAACTTGAAGCTCTTCATCTCCACCTGACGGCTTATGGTCATCTCCAACACAATGCACATTTACACCCCAACTCCTGGCGTCCCCCAGGCCAGCTCCAGCACAGGCTCACTTCTTTCTTCCCATTGCACAAGCCCCAAACCATGGGGTCAACCCTGGCTTTGCAAACCTCAGAGCTGGAACTCCGTCCGTCCCATGGGCTCCACCTTCCACACGTCTAGGACCTGGCTGTGACACTCCTGGGAGTGTCTTATGAAGCAAGTATTCCATTAATCTTTTATTAACAATATTTCCGGAAAAAAAAAAAAAGCGCTACATAGTCTTAGGGAAGCTCTGCAAAAGAGAAGCGGGGAGGGGGGACCTTCCGCAGGAGGGGAGAATGTGCTCTATTTCTGCAAGGTGCATGCACCAAAGGGTTAAAGTCATTTTCATTAAAATTTAAATTTCAGCAGGCGTTCACTCTCCCTTCCCCATCCTTTGAACGTTTGACTGGCAACCATTTCATATTTCAATCTCGGCAGAACAAATTGAATTAGATGTTGAAACCAAACTCGGCTCTGTTCACCAAAGCTTGCATGCTCGGCTTGCACTAATCCTTTCCTAGATGCTGCAGAGCACAGACAGGGGCTGCGAGCCGGCCCGGCCACAAAAGACGAAAAAAGCAAGCCGAGGAGGCAGCAAAAGAGAAGGATGGAAAACAGGCGGGCGAGGGCCACTAGAAATTGTCTTGGCCGGCCATGTGGGTCTTCAAGCCCAGGACATGGACCCACATGTGGATCTAGTTTCGGGCCTCGAATCCCCCGGCGCCCTGCTAGTGTTTGATGAATGAATACATGGGCTGAGGATGAGTGGCTGGCCTTGCGGACGCCTCTTCCTGCTCCATGTGCTGATGGTGGTTGCTGCCTGTGGCCAGGGCCCCCGGCCGCCTGGGCGCCGGCAAGAGCCCTTCCTCACACAACGAAGTCTGGGGCCTGGTCTATAAGTGCTGACCCAGGGGCTGGAGCTCGGCTCTCAGAACAGACGATTCTACCATGACAGGGGCACCCCTGCCTGTGGGTGACCCCCCTGGACTGCAGTGTTGGGAAGAGACCCAGCCATACCAGGGCCTGGGGAAGGTCTCACTTGTTTCCCAAACGCTCCCTGGCAACTGTCAGCTCATCTTCGGTCTGGCTTTGTGCACGGAATGACCAGCTGAACGATGTCCCCGCTCAGCCTGCTTTGGGGCTTGTGGGCAGAGGGCACCCTCTCCAGGCCACCTTCCTGGATGCGGGGACTCCCCATCCTGCCCCATTTCTCTGAGGTGGGCCCAGCAGGCCTGCTGTGAGCATGCCGGGCTCTGACTTCCTGGGGCATCCGCGGGTGTAATGCCCCACGCTTTCCTCTTCGTTAAATGATGGCAACGATCATGACAGCCACGATTTAGTATCGCCTAGGCTTGCCATAGTCTGCTAAATGCTTCCCACCCATGATTTTTCATTTAATTTTCAAAAAAATCCTACCAGACTAAAATTCTTCTCATACCCATTTTAAAAATATGGAAATTGAGGCAGGAGACGCTGAGACCCTGGGTGCAGGTTGCACAAGCAGTGGTGGGTGGTGCGGCCGAGATTCCCACCCCCCCCAGGTCTTCCTGGAACCAGGGCCCGTGGGTTCTGCCCACCCCTCCAGCTGCAGTACACCCCACTCTCACTGAGCTCTGTGAGACCCCCTGACTAATCCCCCGTCCTCCACCTGCAGGCAGGAGCCAGGACCCTCCTCACCCTGGGCTGTCTGTACAGGACTTTCCCCCAGCCAGGCCCAGGGGCCTCGGTGGCCTCTCCTCCTTCCCTGAGGCCGGCCCCATGTCCTTCCTACCCTTCAGGGTTCCTCGGGACTCACGCCCATGGCTGCCCCCATAGACCGCCAAGCTTCTGCAGTTCCCCGGGGTCTCCGTCTGCTCAGCCTTCTAGAGCCCCGTGTGCACAGACCAACCAAACTCCTGGCCTCCCACCTTGCTTCCGTCCGGGCCTCCTCCCTGCCTCCCTGCAGGCAGGCCCCCGCAGCTCCCCCTCTCCTCACTGTGCCTGTCAGGCAGTTCCAGAGAGGGGATTTCAGGCAGAGCCGGAGGCCAGGGGGTGACGACGCCCCCCCAACTGGAGGCTCTCGGGGAGGCAGCGGTGTTACCAGAGTCCAGGGCTGGACCCTTGGTGGGGACCCGGCACGGGACCCAGGGAGGGGGAGGAATGCCCTGGCTTCTCTCCTCCACCAGCCCCCAGATGCCCGATAGTGCCCCGAGAATCAGAGCCGGCGTTCGTGTGTGTGTGTGTGTGTGTGTGTGTATGGCCGTAGGGCACACGGCGGGGCGGGGTTCCAGCTCCGGCCTCTGCAAACGGCCAGCCCCACAGCCTTGTCAGCTCAGGTGCCCCCTCTGGCCCTGCCGTCCCACCCCGGCCATGTCCAGCCGCCAGCACCTCTTCCTAGCTCCCCCTGACCAGCCGGGGCCCACAGATCCCTGTGAGAAATGGCTGAGTCTACACGTGCATGAGGATGCTCACCTAACCCCATGGTTTATTCCTCACAGTTCTTTCCTGGATCGACTTAAGTTCTAGTGTCACTTCCTTTTTTAAAGACTTTATTTTTTGCTAGAGAGAGAGAGAGAGAGAGAGCATGTGCGCACAAGTGAGCACAGTGGCGGGGGGAGGGTCAGAGGGAGAGGCAGATTCCCTGCTGAGCAGGGAGCCCGATGTGGGGCTCGATTCCAGGACTCTGAGATCATGACCTGAGCCGAACGAACGCAGATGCTTAAGGACTGAGCCCCCCAGGTGCCCCCTATTGTCACTTCTAACTCCTCCCCGCAAGCTCCCTTCTGCAGCTTCCAGGCAGCTCCCCTTCCTCCGGGGAGGAGAGGCGGAATCCCTCCTCTGCGCCGGTGTACTTTACCTAGCTTCACCTGACCATTAACCTAGCCGTGCTTTACCTCCTTCCAGAATCATCACAACAGTGGCGGTTCCTATATAGAATTACGATTGTGTGAGTACCTCCTGGTCATTCAAGGTGGCAGTCATTTTCAAAGGGGAAGGGACAGGGCTTGGGCCACTCCCTGCACTAAATGCTGTGACTGAAAGGAACAGGGGTAGGGACGTCTGAGACAGGGGTGTGGGCGCAGGTCTGGGCATGGGAGAGGAGCAGAATGTAGCTACTTCTGATAAAGTGGTAAGGGACTGTCTCTGGGTGAGGAACAAGAATTTAAACTAAGATCTCAAAGGGGAGATTAAAAAAAAAAGAGTCAGGAAAGATGTGGGGGAAGGGGGTCCCAGGCAGAGGGAAGAGCAAGTGCAAAGGCCCTGGGGTGGGAGTGCACTGGAAAGGCCAGCACAAAGTCAGGGAGGGACGAGTGGTAGGGCCTTCTTACTGGGTGAGGAGCGTGACTTAATTCCAAGTGTGTGGGGGACCCTGAAGGGTTTTAAGCTATGACTTCCATAATCTGGTGCACAGATCCAGCTGGATCCCTCTGGCTGCTTGTGGAGAATGCAGTGCTCCTTGGTTAGGGGAAGAGAGATGAGGGTGGCATACCCCATGGACGTCCTTGGTGGAATGAAGGGGGGGTGATGGGGCACCCTAAGATCTCCAGACAGTGAGCCCCCAGGGTGGGGGGCAGAGAGGCCAGGTGGGGCAGGAAGGAGGGAAGGGGACCCGGTCTCCCAGGCTGGAGAGCTTGTGCTTGGCACCCAATACCAGGCTGCAGGAGTTGGCGGATCCTGCCCTGGGAACGTTCTAGTACTATCGTCCGAGTCAGGTAAGTGGGTGCCAATGAGGCCCCCTTGTGTGCCAGGCTCACGAGTCTGATGACCTCCAGTGGGGTGACTATACCCCCACCATCGGCCTGGCTCTGGCGGGTGTGGCAATGTGGATACGGACTGCGTGTTCAACCAGAAAGACCCACGGGCCCCTGAAGAGGACGAGTGGTGGGGAAGAATGGGGTGGGGGGCCCCAGTCACCCCCAAGACCCACGGCAACTGGGGGACCTGGTCACCTGAGGGGCTGGCCGGGGTGAGGTTTGACACTGACCCCGCCGTATAGCCCCCACCTACACGCGGTGCTCACACCTGATGTCTGTGGGCACAGCCTGCAGAAGCCGGGGAGCGAGCCACTCTGGGTTTGGCCTTTTGCCTCTGCTCCTTCCCAGGGAGGAGGCAGGACTCACCAGGAAGCGCTTGCCCCATGGGAAGTGGGGAGTGTGCTGAGCCTCACACAGCTACCGGCGCCGTGGAACTTTGCTTGGGTTCCAGGCCACTCTGCAAACTGGAGGAAGACTGGAACCTCCTTCCTCCAAAACGCACAGACCAAGTTCTATGCAAAGTCAGAAGGTTCCCGGACTCTCACCTGGAGCCCCAGCCAGAGGTGCCAAATTAAGAAGTAAACAGAAGTGCTGATGGGCATTTCCTCTGGGCTGTACTTGGATTGACTGAGGTAGACACTCATCAGGAAGGCACAATACCACCCCCACTGGACAGGAAGAGGAGCTGAGGGTCAGAGCGGACCTCACTGGTCTGAGGCTGCACAGCTGGGAACGGTGAGGCTGGGATGCAGACCCAGGTCAGAGGATCGCGCGGCTCCTTCCTCCCCACCAGCCTGCCTCCTGGCCCTCCCCCTGGGGGAGGCTGTATTTGCAGGCTGGAGTAGGTGTGTGCACTCGGGCGCCCCAAGCGTGGGATAAGCCTTTCGATGGGGCTGGGATGCATTTCTCAGAGTCCTCCACCCGTGAGTAGGGGATACCCGCCATCAGAGACGCATCTTAGGCTCAACCGGCTGGCATCTGGGCTTCGTGAGCGGCTCGGCGGCTTCCCCAGCCCTGGGGTCAGCCCCTGGTGGTCAAACCAGGGCTCAAAGCCCCCTGGGGAAGGACAGAGGCCAGGTCCCCAGCTGTGAGCACTCCCGCAGATGGCCGTAGGTGGGAACTCCAGCTAGCAGCCCTGTAGGGGAGGGCAAGAACAGAAGCTTCTGAGCCGATCTTCCGCCGCAGCTGGGGTATTTCATGGATTAACGCCGCGTGTTTTTCTCACTAAAACCGTACGCGATGGGAACAGTTTGCGACACAGACACTGGGCCCAGGGAGATTAGGTAACTGGGCCGGGGCCCCCAGCCTGTGTGGGGTGGAGAGGGGGCTTCCTGCCCCGACAGCCCAGCTGTGCAGGAGCGAGCCCCCGAGTCCCTCTGTGCCCCGACCTGCCGACCAGCAAGGTGGGGCCCTGTCTCCTGTCTGGGAGCAGCGGACGGCCAGCCTGGGGGGGGACGCAGTTTGTTCTTGCGGCTTCCAGGTCCTGGTGTGGCCATGAGAGACTTCCTAACGTGGCTGAGTCTTGCCTGTCCCCTGGCCCTTGGGTGCCGGGCACAGAGCGGATGCGTGGGGACTGCTGGAACGTGTCACCTGGGACACTGTCCCCTCTGAACTCGGGCTGGGGCAGGGTGGGGGCGCCTGCACTCCCACCTGCACCCCAAAAACGGCGCTCCCCGCCCCCCCTTCCCAGCCCACATGGCGGGAGCGCAGAAGCCGGAGCGGCTGTCCCCAGTCCCCAGGGCCCTGGAGCCACGTACCCTCTCGGTGCCAGCTCGCAGCTGAAGGGCTTGCTCCTCACTGTCGTTTTCAATGTCTTCCAGATGCTGCAGGATCTCGTCCAACACCACAGGCCGCTTTTTCTTCGGGGGCTCTGTGGGAGCCCAGATGGCAAGAGAGGAGGAGAGAACAGCCGAGAGGGGTGGAGGCGGGAAGAGAGAAATGGCAGGAAGGGAGAGGGACCGGGATGAGCAAAATGGAGGGCGGGGAGGCGAGAGAGGAAACAAGGCGCCGGGAGGGAGGAGAGCGAGCCAGAGGAGGAGGCACGAGGGACCAGAAGCCACCGCGGAAGAGAAAACACGAGAGAGGAGAGAGAAACACGGACAGTCAGTCTCCAGCTTCACCAGGGGCTGCCTCTCCGGCTCGGCCTGCCACCCCCTCCCCGGCTTCCACCCGCAGAGGAAACGGCTCCGTTTAGGAAGGGAGTGGGGAAGGCCTCTCCCGGCAGCTCAGAGGTTGATGATCTCTGCCTGCCTTGCAGGGAGCGTAACACCTTCAGAGAGGATGGGTCAAGGGAGGGCAATCACTGGGGAAACAAGTAGAAGCTTCTGCGGCTTTCCTAGAGGTTGCAGACTCTTAATGGTATAGTAGGCGGCTGATACAGCGGGTGCTCAATAAATGTTGGGTGAAATCATGCTCCGAGATTCCAGGGGAGGCACGGAGGGAAGAACAATACGAGGTGGCTCTGGAGAGGAGGGGCTATTTGCCTTGGACTTTGAAGGATGCAGAGGAGATCTCTGTGAGGAGAGGGGAAGGGGGTGCAGACGCACAGCATAACCAGAACGCACATTGGGCTCAGCACACATAGTCCCTCTGGGCCCCAAACACTACTGAGGACCTACTATGTGCTACAGCCCTATTCCTCTCACCAATCCTGCAGGTATGTATGATGATTGCCTCTTACGGGGGAGGGAGCTGAGCCGCAAACAGCGTTAAGTCTAAGGTTACTTAGCTAGAAGTGCTGGAGGCAGGATTTAAACTGAAGCAACGCCAAAGCCACAGTCTCCCGTCTCATGGGAGTCTCCGGTGCTGGCTAGGGAGTGCCAGGGAGACAGAGGGGGGCAGGAGAAGGTGAACTGGTCCCCTTGGCCTTCCCGGGAGGGATGTGGCAGGGGGAGGCTGGGCACAGGCCTGGCCGTCCCAATCCTGTCCTCAAACACCTCCTCCATGAAGTCTTCCAGGGGGACAAACAGCCCTGTGATCCTTTGTCTCAACTCCCCACTAGGCCGGGGGCTCCCGAGGGCATGTGCCTCACGTGGGTCTCTCCAGAGCCCAGCCCGGCCCCTGGCCCAGACATGCAGAATCCTGGGCCTCTTGGAGAAGGTCCTGGGCTAGTGACTTGGCCTCTCTGAACCTGTTTCTTCACCAGGTTCCTCCCAAGGTGACCGGGGCACTGACTCTGTCTCATCTTCTGCATGGCTACCTGCCTGATCCAGGCACTTTCACCCGAATCCCTGTTCCTACCACCCCCACACAGCTGGGTCCAGTCTCCACACAGCAGCCTGAGCAAACCTAGAACAGGTGCTATCGCTTGGGGTCTCAAGCTCCTATGGCTTTGCAAGGCAGGGCGAGGGAACCCTGAGTCCTCTAGTGGCATGACTTGAGCTGGCCCCTCCAACTGTGAGACCTCTGCACCTACAGGGCCGATCCCCTGTGTTTGAGCCCCAGCTCCTGCGCCCCCTCCTCAGATGCCCCCCCCCCACCTGCTATCGTGGCACTTCTTCGTTTGGGAATGGAGCTGTCCCATTCACTGCCATGTCCCCTGCCTCCGCACACGGCCTGACACCTAATGGGTGCTCACTAATGTGTGCCCGATGAGGGGAGAAGTGAATGGAGCGGGAAGGCGGGGACGCAGAGAGGCTGGGGAAGCTGTGGGAGGCTGCCCGCTCCCCCCCCCCCCCCCGGAGCCTGCAGGCCTGTATCCATCATTGTTAGTCATGGAAAGGAAGAGGGGACAGGACGGGCTGGGGGGTAGGGGTGGTAGCCCCTGGCTCAGACACATGCCTCCTCTCCCCGCTGCCTCCTCAACGCTCTTGGTTTCCTTACAATTGCCAGGCTTTGGAGGTGCACAATGGCCTCTGGAAATTGAATTTGTGGGCAGGTAATGGGAGCCGGGAAATAGAAGAGCAGCAAAATAGGGCCCACGGATGCCCCCTCCTAGTTACTAACAACGGGGGTGCGAGCTCCTGGGCCAGGCGGTGGAGCCGTGGCCTTGACCTTCAGAGCGTCTCTCGTCTTCCCCGCTGCCTGACCGCTCTGAGGCACTGGCAGGGGGGCCGGTTTCTGCCTACACCTCCTGGGGCTCAAGCTCTCAGCCAGTTCTGCCCCCGCCCACCTCCGCCTCGGACCTCCACCCCAAGTCTGGGGTATTTCTGGCCTGCAGGACGGCGGAAGCCTACTCCGCCCTCCGTCCCAGAGTCCACTCTCAAGGGGCACCCAGGGGATCAGCACCTGTGGCTCCTTTTCTCTGCCTCCGTGGTGCTGTCTCACCTGGGGAGAAGCCGAAGCCGTCAGGACGGCCACCAGGCCACGTGGGGGGGTCCGTCACCTCTGAGCTTCCGGTTACACTCACCCCTGCAGGCATGCACGCACACGGACACGCATGCACACGGACACGCATGCACACAGACATGCATGCACACAGACACGCGTGCACGCAGCAACTACCACCCAGGGTCCTTTCCTGGTTGCTGGCCCCCACCTCTCCCACCTCCGGGCCTCGCATCTGCTGTTCCCTCTGCCTGGAGTGCTCCTTCCCCGGGAGCCACGCGGGGGCCTCACCTTTTCAGGGAGGTCTCCCTGATCTCCTTGTTTAAAACCACAAGGCCCCCCAGCGCCCCTGCCCTCCTTCCCTATCCGTGCTCCTCTGCAGCATCCACCCCTGTGTTTTACTGCGCGGCTTACTGTCGGCCTCCCCCACTGGGATGCCGGCTCCAGGAGGAAGGGGCGTCTGTCTGCACGGTCAAGGCCCGCACCCCCGAGGCCTAGAACAGCGCGCGGCACAGCAGATGCTCAGAGAGTACTTGTTGGCCGAATGGACGGATGGCAGGGACAGATGAGACTGAAGAGCTCAGGTTGCTGAAGGACACACAGAAGCAGGTGCCGGACCAAAAGCAGACTTTAACCACCTCCGTTCACGTTTTCGTCCGCTCACAGCAGAGACTGGGCAGTGCCTGCTCTGGGCCGGGCCTGGCAGTGAGCGGGACAGGCCAGTGAGGGGAGATGGAGAAGGAGCCAGAACCACAACCCAGGGCAGCATTAGCTCCATGTGGGCTGTCAGGGCGGCTTCCTGGGAGGAGGTGACAATGTAAACATGGCCACGACCCAGCTGACGCCCAGCTCGGGCCCTCTCACGCCGCTGTGCTCGTCTCACTGCTCGTCTCACTACCGGCAGGCGGCTGCGCTCATGGCTTCACGGCATCTCCCACCCTCTGAACCAGCGGGCACCTCTCAACTTGGCCCCGCGGCCGCCAGCCATGCTCAGTCTGCCTTGGAGCAGGCCTCGCTGTCCTAAAGACTTGTGAACCAGTTCGTCCCTGCCTGTGCCTGGGATGCCGGCCCTGTCCTCGGCTGCCCGCCCGCCTTTCCTCTGAGTCACTGGGTCCCAGACACTCCTCCTCTGCGGCCACTTGACAATCACTTAAGAGCCAAACATCCAGCGACACAGCGTGGCAGAACGAGAGAACCCATGCCACCCAGAGCTGGGCTCCAATCCTATGCTTCCCCTCCCCGGTGGCGGTGGGACCTCCGCCCCTCCGAGCCTCAGCTCCCCCTCCCGGGACAGGCAGTGGGGCCAATCCTACAGGAGGCCCTGGGGTAACGGACAGGTGGTGGGCTATTGCAATACAACAAACAGGGGCAGGGTTGGGAGGCACCCGATGGGTCATCTGGCTGGGGAAACTGAGGCCCAGAGGGAGGAGGATGCAGCCGGCAGAGGGACACACAGGCAGCGCCTCGGCTGAGTCTCAGGAACCCCCTGCAGGAACGGGTGTCATCACCCCCACTTCACAGCTGGGGAGATGGAGGTGCAGGGCGAAGCGCAGCCCCCCAAGGCCCCCAGCTACCACAAGGCCGCCCCGGGGTTCGGCCTCAGTTGTCCTGTTTGCAGGCCGCACATGCCGTCTGGGTTGTGCCGTGCGCCGTCTCTCAGGGGCCCCGACTCGGGGCGGAGGGCACGGCCAAGGCCGCACAGGAGCCTGACACTGAGATAGGTGCGCGGTCACCACGTCTGGCCTTAGGATCACACACACTTGGCTTTGGCACTTCCCCAGCTGCGCGCCCTCGGGCGGGGGGGTGGGGAGGCAGTGGGTGCCAACAGGGCGGGGACTGTCATAGGACGGCCAGTACATAGTAGGTGGTCAACGAATAGCTATTGGGTAAATGAATGAAAACGTTTGGTTTGTAAAGGCGGAAGAAGGTACGGTACCCATTCCCCACCCCAGGTTGGAAAACAGGGGGATCCACTGACCCCTGCGGGGCGAGTGGCGTAGGAAGCAGGTCAGCGACTGGCTAACTCCATGGTCTTGCAGGTCAGACAATCTGAGGTCCCAGCTCTGCCGCCTAATGGCTCAGTGACCTTGGACAAGTCACTTCAGCTCCCTGGGTGTCGGTCTCCTCGTCTGTACCTGGGAGATGAGACCAGGACCCGTCTCCCAGGGCAGCCGTGAGCATCAGCGAGTCTGTGCACGGAGCCCGGCAAGCTAAGGGCTCGGCACTCGGGAGCCGTGACTGCTCTCGTGGGCCTGGGGCATCTGGCTCGGGTCCGGCCCCCAACCCCCGCCCCCAGGGGACGCGTCGGGCCCGAGTGCCCACCGCACGACACCCAGCACCGCCCGCCGGCCCTGCCTGTGCGCGGAGCACCCTGCTTGCGGGAAGCAGCTGCTGAAATCCCACTTCTCCGACATCAAAAGCCTCAGTGGGTTTTCACCAAACAAACATAATGCAGAACCGGAGAAAGGTGTAAAATAAATAAACGAAACAAGCTGTGCATTTTCTTTCAGCATTACAGCTGCACCCGAAGATAAACAACAAGTGAATGTCACCAAACATCAATACCCGAGAAATTAACCTGACAAAAAACCCAGCCGTCCCCCA